ACAAAAAAAAAAAAAAGAATACCTCATGGCAGAGATGGCTAATTGGTGCCCCCAAATCACTCTTCCTTTAGACACATGTCTGGAGGTCCAGAGAAACTTAGACACATGGCCACCAAGAATAAAGACTTTTTCCCTTGCCTCTGCTTCATCTAGCAGAACCATGTGTCAACATTGTGGACTTGGAATGTGAACCTGAATTGTGTATGGAGCATCTGGTTCAGGCCCTTGGAGTATGAGCTCTCTTAAGCCATCTTTGTGGCATTATGTAGCCCTGGTGCTGCCATCTTTCAGCTCCAAGTGGCACTATATTCTGAGGATAGAAGAGCCACCTTCAGGGCTTGTACTGGCTCATCTCCAGGCTGTTAAATGAGAGAGAAATAATCTTGTTTAAGCTATTGTTAAGTTGAAGCATTGCATCTGAGCCAGATGGCTCACACAGCATTGCTGCCACTGAAGATTTAGTTTCATTTAATAGGCTCCTGTTTAAAATGAAAACAAAAATCACAGCTAGTACAGGCATTTTTAAGACAGTTAGATAAGTTTGAATATAAAATGTGTATTAGACATTGAATTATTGTTCTATTCTTGGGTGTGTTGTTAATAGCTCTATTTGTTGTTCTTGGGAGATTCATACAGGAATCTTAAAAATACTTACTAATGGTTTGGTAATGTACCACAGATAGCTAATGTAAATATACAACATACTGATGATTGAATCCAGATGATAAGTATACAGATTTAGTTTCATTATTCATTGATTTTTTTGTATGTTTGAATTTTTACAAGAAAAATTTGAAAAATAAAATAGACAAGACATTTTTGGGTGAACAAAATTTGCACTGGAGCTTTCTGAGCACAAAGGCAAGGTTGTGAGTGCAGCAAGAAGGCCTCATTCCAAGGAAGGATAGGCCATTCTACAAAGCACATGTGTTGCACTGTGTTGGCAGGACTGGGTTGTCCCGGACCTGGAGACTGTGCTTGCCTCTTGCTGAGATTAGCTTGCAGATTGTGGACATCTTTGTCAGTCTCCTTCTTCACCTCAGGTCAAATGGCAGAAACTTTCCTATCCTGTGGAATAGAAAAGGCGTAGTCTGCTTACAATCAGATTAAATAGAAAACAATAACTTGAAGGAAGACTGCAAAATGCCAAGAAGTTCTGTCTATGTTCTATTATCAAATAATGGTACAAAATTGAGAACTTTTATATAAAAGATAATTGTTACATCATGTATTTAAAGCTAATAATTTTTCTCTTCTCTTGCTTTCTGAAATTTTAGATTATACTACTGTTATATTTCTATAGGACATTTTTAAAAAACACACACAAGTGAGAAACCATTTATATCTCTTCTTGCATACAACTGAAATGTACGTAAGCTAGTACTCCTAATAACAAAATAATTGGGTGACATCATAGCCAGATCTTTTATTTCAAAACATTTCAACATTACAAAACAAATGTCTCAAACTGCCCTTTTATTATGAAAGATTATAACCTCATTTATAGAATTATGTCATTAATTATCCATTTCCATACACAATTTAAAATACTATTTCAAGAAGTCACAATGTTCCAATTAAATTAACTAAGTGCTAAATAGTTCAGGCTTAAATTACTCAGGAAATTGTCATGACCCACCAGAATTCAAACCCATATACACACTACTACTGGTTGTCCTGAAATTAAATTTCGAGAACTTATAGGTGGGAATTTTCTTTAAATGTTTTTATCTCTGTGGCACTTTCTTCAGGAACAAACTTTCAGGGTGCAATTAAAAACCTTCATCCTCAGGCTAGTCAGTCTGGGAGGATATAAAATATTTACAAGGCCTATTTCATGCCAACAAATTGCTCTGGAACATGAGAAGTGATGAGCTACATTCTTCCTGTACCTAAGACACTACCTACAGTGAAGAAAATATCTTGGATCCCGATTTATATTCCAGGTCCATAAGCTAATATTCAGAATGTTTATACTGTGACATGCCACATAGAATCCAGATTCATTAAATTCAGGAACCTATTAGTGGCTAAGAAAGTCTCTTTGTGAAACAAAAACACTGTGCATTATTGTTAATCTTTCTTGTGGGTCATATTTTTATATCCACCTTCTAGACAGTGTTTCTTTGTAATCAGATACTGGCAATTTAACTTGATAATTCTGAGTTTTCAGAGAAAAAGAAAGTAATAGGTATGACTGGGAAGGCTTTTCTGTTTTTTTTCCAGAATATCCCATTGTTGTCGAACTTAGAATATTATTTTGCTTTCTGATCTTTTATTTTACACACATAACATCTCATCACTGAACTAGCAGTAATTCATATTTGGGATCATTCAATTCAGCACTATTTCAGTTTGATATACTAGTTTCATATGAGAAAATTATATTTATACAAAATGACCTTCAATCCCTGATGAATAAATACATTCGGCACTCCACATCTATAGGTCTGATAACTGCAGATTTGACCAACTTTGGATTAAAAATACTCAGGGAAAAAGTGTATCTCTACTGAACATGTGCAGAAATCTTTTTCTTGCATTTTCCTTAAATATTAGAGTATAGCAATTATCTACATAGCATTTACATTGCTTAAGTATTTAATAAGTAATCTAGAGATGATTTAATATACAGAAGGATACCTATAGGCTCTATGCAAAAATTACACCATTTTACAAAAGGGTCTTAAGCATCCATGTATATGGCAGGATTAGGACCAATGGGCTAGAGATACTGAGGGACCACGTATAAGAGAATGGGGAAGACCACCACATTTGTCACCTCAACTACCAGGGTGGAGGTAACTGAGTAGGCCTGATTCCTGTACCTCCCTCCTCTAGCTACCACATCATTATGGCAGGTGTAAGTATGGAAAGCATTTTAAGAATTTTACACATTGGTCAAATTTTTCTCCAAACCTCTGTTTTAAAATATTTACCAGGCCGGGAATTTAGCTCAGTGGTTTAGCCGCCTGCTGTGCAAGCGCAGGGACCCGAGTTTGATCTCCGGTACCAAAAAAAAACCATACTTACCTTTCACGTGGAAAATTTTCTCTCCAGGCTTTCATTAACTATGTCTTAAAAAATATTCTTCCTTTTTGAATGATTCACTGAAAACTTGAGCTTAATAATAATTAAATAATAGTTTTTAAGTTACTTGGTACACGTCTTCATTAAATACTGCCCTTAAACCGTAAATTCCTTCTTCAATGAAAGAGAACTCTTATATTTGTAGCTTACTCTAGGATTTGTTTTAATGTGAAAAATCAGTGCTTGGAACTTTGGACTGAACTCTGCACCTTTTCCTTCTGCACCGCCCCCCCCCCCCCGCCTCTTTTACAGAGACCAAGAAAGAGAAAGAAATCTAAACTACAAAAGAAATAAGCAATCGACTCAATCTTTAAAAGTAAGTGACGGTATTGAAATTTTTTTTCTTTGCAGAAACATATTAAGACAAATAGTTTGCAGAAATGTCTTTAAAAGTCATCAGAACATGGGTTGCTCTTATATAGTCGCTGATTTTCTGTTAACTATTTATGTTGCTTTGGAGGCCATCAGTGTTTGTATTCCTGTTGAATGATAAACTTTCTAAGAACAGGAAGTAAGGAAATGTTGCATCAGTGCATTTTGCCTCTGATCCTCCTACTGTCCTTGTTGGATAAATAATGAACCATTGAAATCCAGTTGCTTCTAATACTTACAAAACAACTCTGCAACTAACTATACCAATGCATTCTAATTCCTATAAACAACAGGTTATTACTTGTATAACAGAAAGTATTCCAGTTTAAGAAACTGCAGATGCTCTGTAGATATATATAAATATATAGATATATGTATAATTTATTTTTATTATTACATATTTATAGTAAAAATGCTTACATTCCTTGTGGGAAATTGGTACATGTACATAACACGTCTTAATTCTTTTTTTTAACCCCTTTCTCTTCCTTCCCAACCTCCCCCATCAATTTCTTGTTCCTTTACCTTTTTGGAGGTACATGTTTATAATACATAATGTTTATATTCCTTGTGTGTTGATAACATATACATAACACATCTTCATTTCTTTTTTAATCTTGTCTCTCCTTGCTCCCTCCCTTTCCTCTATCTTTTCATCCCTTTCTCTTATTAGAAAGATCTACCTCCTTACTTCCTTCATCTATCTTTTATTTTTCTTTTTTATTTATACTTGGATTTCTCATACACCAGAAAGCATATTCTGTTCAATCTTGTATGCTTGATTTATTTCACTTAATATTATGGTCTCAAGGGGCATCCATTTTCCTACAAATGACTCAAGTTTATCTTTCTTTAATAGTAGTACTCTATTGTGTGCAAAAACCACATTTTCTTTATCCATTCATCTATTGACGGGAATATAGTCTGCTCCCAACATTTGACTATTATGAGTTGTGCTGATATAAACAAGGATGTGCATGTACCACTGTAATATGATGTATTTAACTCTTTGGTGAAGACACCTAGAATAGCAAAAGCAATCCTGGGTAAAAAGAGCAAAGCAAGAAGCATCACAATCCCAGATTAGAAGTTATATTACAAAGCTATGGTGATAAAAAAAAACAAAACAGCATTGTACTACACAAAAACAGACATGAGGAAAAATGGAACTGAATACAGGATACAGAAACAATCACAAGCACATTCAACTATTTGATCTTTGACAAAGGGGCCAAAAATATATACTGGAGGAGAGACAGACTCTTTAATAAATGGTGCTGGGAAAACTGTCAGTCCACATGCAGAAGATTGAACACAGACACATATTCTCACCATGTAGTAAACTAAAATCAAAATGGATCGAAGAACTAAATGAAACACTTAACTTGCTGAAAGACAAAATAGGTAAAACTCTTGAAGTCATGGGCATAAACAAGGACTTTCTGAACAGTACCCTGGTTGCACAGGGATAGTACCAAGAATCAACAAACGGAATCATATAAAATTTAAAAGCTTTTGCATAGCAAAAGAAACAGTCAACAGAGTAAAAAGATAACCTACAAAATGGGGGGAAATTACTAGCTATTCCTTAGAGAGAGGACTGATATCTAGATATAAAAAACTCAAAAAAATTAGACCACCCAAAATTTAAAAACCCAATCAAAAATTGGGCAACTGAAATGAACACAGTTCACAGAAGTACAAATGGCCAATAAATATATGAAGAAATGTTCAACATCACTGGGAATTAGAGAAATGCAAATTAAAACAACACTGAGATTCCACCTTACCCCAGAAAGAATACCCATCATCAAGAAATCAAATAATAGCAAATGCTGGAGAGACATGGGGAAAGAAGAACCTTTCTACACTATCAGTGGGAATGTACAGTAGTACAACCATTTGGAAATCAATATGGAGATTCCTCAAAAAACTAAAACTAGAAATTTCATTTGACTGAGTTATTCTCTTCTAGCTATCTTCCTGAAAGCCCGGCAGATGTATATTTTTAAATAGTGACAGTTAAGAACTCTGCCCTCTCCTACTCAGTTGCCAAATGACCTTGTATTATCTAACCTTATGTTGCTTCCTATGTGCCTCATGTTTTTCCTGCTGATAGCAACATCTAAGCAATTGAAGATGATCCCAACAAAGGGATTCTGTTTCTTGGGTGATTGTGTCCAACTCTTCCCCCAAAAGGTGATGACAAGGTGATATTTTAGTCACAAGTTCCTTGTGGTCAGTCTCTCTCTCGTTCACATCTATGACTGATCTCTTTGTATGTTTTCCCACTCTTTTATGGACAAGTGTTTTGAAACATTCCTTGGTCTCAGATTCAAGCCACCCATTCTAACTTTTTAGTATTCTGGACACAGATGACTTAATTTTTCTCTTCACACAGCCTGATGTGCTCTCACATCTTTCCAGCTACCCTTATATGTGGGTAAAAATAATAAGATAATTTGCAAAAATGTCTTTAAAAGCCATTAGAACACGGATTGTTCATATATATCCTGTAGTCAGTAATGTTGAGAAGGCCTTGCAGGTTTTCCGATTGCTCAGCTGCCCTCTTGCTTTCAGTTTGTCTCTCCCCAGATGTTCTCTGCTCATCACCACCTGCTTTTCTGAAAAAGTACTACTTGCCTCATGTGTTTGGAAGGTGACTGCGTCCTTGGGGGTACAATAGCTAAATGTGCTATTTACGTGCCACTTCCTGTGGGCTCTGATCAAAGGAAGTGAGTCCCTGGGGGTGTAACCTGGAAGGGTGCATCTCCCTCCCGGCTACTCCCCTCTTTCTCTCTGCTTCCTGAGCACCATGCAGTAAGCAGCTTTTCCTCCACTGTGCTTCCCTGCCATGCTGTTTCTGCCTTAGACCCAGCCAACCATGGGCTGTAACCATGAGTCAAAATAAACCTCTCTTCCTATAAGTTGTGGATGCTGGGTATTTTGTCCCAGTGATAAGAAAGTAACTAAGATGCCTACTCTTTTACAAGCCTATTCTCCTCATTTCCATAGCATCATATCTTTAAGCTTCCAACATTCTAAAAATGTGATTACCACAACCTCCCTATTCAAAGTTTTTTTTTTTCTGATGCTTCTTATAGGACATAGGCACTGTAAAGATGTATTCCAGTCATTTCACTTTCCAGCTGAAGAGGCAGGGTACTAAAGTTAACCAGTAATTAACAACAGAGCCAAAACTAAGTTGCCCAAGGCACTTTAATTGCAGTGATCTGGAGAATCTAGCCTTGCCTCCTCCTGATAAAATTCCTGTTACCAGACAGAGTTCCATGTGTACTGGGATTCACTCCTGCCAGGTGCCATAACCTTCAGTAGTGTGCTGTTGAAGTGCAAAAGGGGTCATCTGAAGTCTGCAAAGCATTAGCATGCAGGATTTCTGCAATCCAATTACCCTTCACTCTCTGTAACTATAGGCAAATTCTACTCCATCCTGAATCTGCACATGATTGGGAAAGGGGACATATTTTCATGAACAAAATAAAGATTTATTTGTGTTGAAAAAAAAGTGTTCTGAATCATCTCGTTGGATATTAATAACATTGGATATTTAATAACATCATTTTGACTAAGGTTTTAGCCTTTTTTTGGTCTTCCTCAGTTATTATTTTGCTTAACTGTCATAGTTACAGGCTTGTCATTTGCCCTCTCTGTGTCAGAATCTTTGGTAGCTTTGAGTTTTTAATCCACTCTGTTTTGATGAGATTAGGCCTCCTTAGATGCCTTACTTCTGTCTTCTCAGAACCTCCGCCCCCACCTGGTGGAATATTTAGGCCTGACCAGCACTGTGTCCTCAAAACATTTCCAAAACCTTCACCAGGAGCAAAATGTTGCATATTTATTTTAGCTTTCCATCAGTGAGGAACTTATCTACTATAGTCAGCTCCTGAGTCTGGCATGTCTTTTCAGAGACAGTGCATGATTGCTTCCATTCTTATTGGTATTCATGAGCATTTCTTGGTGACTTGTAATGTTAGACATTTGTATAGCATTTCATGGCTTTTACATTATCTCATTGGAGCCTGTGAGCAAGTCAGGGCTGACCTTATCTCCAATTTATGGGTGAAGAAACTTTAGCTCACACAGATTAAGTAACTTACCTAAAGTCACTTAGATAGTAGTGCATAGCCGAGTAGAATCTCAGCCTAATGTCAGTACTCTTCCCACTACTCTACCAAGTAAGTTTAAAGATTGTCTTTGTTTTATTTCCCCACCTCCAACTTGTCTGACAGGGGAAGAAAAAAGTGGAACTAGAAGAAATATTTTTATCACAAAAGGACTTGGCTATTATGAGAATCTTAAGTCTGTTCCATAATGCAAAAAAGATTCAGGTCTCACTTCCAAATTTGCTAATTTAACAGAATGTCAGTTATTGAGATAAACGCAACGAAATCAAAGTTCAATCTCAGAGGTCTACGCTTTGCTAATCACATTTCTATGCAGCAACTGATTAAAAGCAGGAGTGTATTCAGAGTCATGGCTCTCAAAATGCTTTCTTTACTTAATGTTTTGCTAAGAATGTGTGGGAGTTCTATTGTGTGACTAATGGGCAGTGTGTGTGGGTGATGTCACAGAATGCTACAGAAACAGAACTTTCCACAAGTTGGAGAACACTGGAAAGACCAGGTAATTTTCCTATGTGATTGTCACCTGCCACAAACTGCCAGACTCACTGGGAAACACTGAGAATTCTGGGATAAAAAATAAAAAGGAAAGAGGGAGTCAAACTGGTACTGGTTACATATCAACATCCCTGTCCTCAAGAGTATGTGATTGCTTAGAATCTCTAGAGAGCGCCCAACATTACTAAACAGGGTATTAAATTCATAACCACTAAAAGTTATTACAACACACATAGGAGACACTAGTAATGCAGTTCTGATGATGAAGCCCTTCCGTGAATGGAGTCATGAGCTCACACTTTTACTGTTCTGAATGGTCCATACTGCACCATCTGGACATGGATGTCCTTTCTAGCCCTCCCAAGACCCTTCTTTGGGACCTAGATAAGAATTTTCCACAACATTTTCTCCTGGGCCCAGATTTTATGAGTGAGGAATCAGGATTTAACACTCCAGAAAGAGGGACCAATACTTAATATTCTTCACTGTGAAACCTTGCTAACAGAATTTTTTGAAAATCTAATGGCTACATTTTCTGATATCAGTGTTTTCTACCTATACTTTGTAGTAATTCTTTCAATTGTGTACTAATAATGTCTTCCTTGTCTCAGCACCCAAAGTGATATTTTAATTTCCAAAACTCTTCAATCAATTGAAATTTCATCAATATTTTGTTGTCCACAACTATCTTCCTTCAAAGTTTGGTACCTACCCTCTTTTGTCTTCCTGGGTTCACCTTTACTGTGTCATATTTTGGTTGTATGGGAAGAATAAAGACACTTGTGTTCTGGGCTTCATATCATGCAGGTGAAATAAATTCCGTAGTTTAAAGAAAAGTAAATGCTTGAGCAAATGACTCCAGTTCTACTTCCATAGAAGAAGCATAGAACACAAATATCTCAGGCTGTAAGGCCTCCTCCTAAGACATCTACACAGGCCTCAAGCCCCTTGAATACAAGGAAAGAAAATTTTCATTTTTCTATTACATTTTAAGAGCATTACCTAGTTTCTCTAAGTCTAGGGTACATCTTAGATATTTAAAGGAGAAGCTAATTGAGTGCCAACAAAAAGAAAAGATGTGAACATAGATCATAAATGCTCAGAACCATTTTGATCTTCATTTCTAAGACCAGAAATAAACAGTATTCATGACCAACTAATGAAATACTTAAGCTGCTTAGGAGTCAAAAAGCCCTTTGTAGCATAAATCACCACTGAAACTGCAATCTAAATAGTGCACATGTTACAGAATTGAGTTAGTTGAAAAAAATAAGCCATTCAATTTGACAAAAGTTTAGATAACTCATAAATAATTTCCTACTGTTGTGATTGACCTATATTTACATGTATATACAAGATCTGCTACTTCCAGGTCATAATTTAAAATTAATGTGAATCAAATGACTCAACTTCTCAACTCTACATGTCTATACCAAATGTAGCATATTTTCAGTCTGAATGACATTTCACCATGCATAGCCATTTAATTTGCTGCTGCTGTTGTTTCTGCTACTGCTGCTGTTGTTGCTGTTGTTGATGAGGAGGATGATGACAAGATCTGTCTTATTAAGATCCAAGTCTTGGGCCAGGGATTTAGCTCAGTGGTTTCACCATCTGCTGCGCAAGTGCAAAGACCTGAGTTCGATCCCCCGTACCAAAAAAAAAGATCCAAGTCTAGAGAACATAGGATGCCTGGTATGTCACAGCTACCCTTTATTACATGGGAGGGGTAATCAGCAGCAAGTAAAACAAAATGGTTTCTTTTAGAGAATATAATTTTTGTGACTTTACTATAACTATTTCTTAAAGAATGTGACAGATTTAGTGGACAAGTTGAAGTGTTTGTTTTCTAAGCAGTTGAGAAGATTACTCAAAAGCAAAACCAATTTTACTCTCCTGCAACTCCTCATGAGATTTCAGTCTTTTATGCCCTGCCCAACTATCGCCTCTATTATTTCTACAGGTGCATTTTCTGAAAGTATATGTGTCAAGAATTATGAATCTGTGTTCAGTCTGATTCTCTGCATTTGGAATCAAATTAACTCAGTACAAGTTACACGTACAAGTAACTTTGAAGTACAAGTTAACTCAGCTTCCTAAAGCAGGAAGCAATGGATGAAACTAATATGGAGTAACTAGTTGACCTGCTTACACTTGTTTTAAATTCAGCCAAAATAGTCTCAAGTTCCAATTTATAATACTATGTACAAAATTCTGCAGGTAAAAAATGCCAAAGGAACAAAAATGTTTTAATTAAATAATGTGATACAAACTGGGTATGGTAGCACTGTGCCTGTAATCCCAGAATTCTGGGAAGCTTCAGCAGGAGAATCACAAATTTAAGCCCAACCTTGGAAATTTAGCAAGATCCTCTGTCAAAATAATAAATAGAAAAAAGACTAGGGATACAACATATCATGAAGGGCCTGGCTTCAATTCCAACACCACCAAAAAGAAAACCCCAAAGAACAAAACCAAAAAAATGGTTTTAAAAATCTTTAACAGAATCTAATTATGATTTCCAAGATTTAAAAAAAGTCATAGTTGGGGCTTGGGATTTAGCTCAGTGGTTTTGCTGCCTGCTGTGCCAGTGCAAGGACCTGAGTTCGATCCCCGTACCAAAAAACCAAAAAAACAGAACAAACCAAAAAAGTTGTAGTCTAGCCTAAAGCATCTGAGAAGACATCCATAGAAGACAAGATAATTTCTCAAGTACTTTTTGGGTCAGAATAAAAAAGATTGGCATAACACCAATGTGATGATGCAGAATAAATATTTTCTAGCTGCGAGACCACACATATCACATTATTCTTCAGACATTTAGGGGCAGACTCATACATTTTCAGAAACTGCCAGTCTCACTTTGTGCAACATTGTGCCATTAAGTGTTATCTTTGAATCACTTGTTGGTTAACTTGTGAAGGCTGTTCTGTCTTTTCCATGGTTACTATAGAAACTAAGTAGTCATGATGTTTCAAGGATACTAGGAGGGAATCTAAGAATGTACAATAAAAGTTCACTTATTTCATAACTTATAATTTCTTCCAGCTGTCTCCATTTGTGTGATTATCATGTTCATTTTGGAAATATAAACATGCAACCAAAAGGGCTCTGGTGATGGCCAGTGAGTGATCTCATCCTAACAGACTTCCCTCCCAACTTCTTTCCCCTCCAAGACTTGTAAAGGAAAAACATGAAACAAGGGGTATGTAAGGTTCAGGTGTTTCCAATTATTTTCCTCCTCTGAGCAGAAGTTTCATAGATCCAAAACATATTTCTGTTCAAGTGGTTTCCCTTGTATTTGAGGAGTGTGTTTCAGGAAAGTTTCATCTACATATCTTTGACTCTAGTGCTTCATCGATAAAATGTCTCCTCTAAGCCCTTTATATAATTATGTCTTCCATAGTGGTCAAAAATGTGGTGTGTTTAAGTACTGCTTGCTTTTGTGAAGCATACTCTCAGAAAGTGTATGACTTTTTGTCCTTGCAAAGAAGAGAGAAGTAAATGCTCAAGACTGAGATTCATAGCAGATTCCTTGTTAGTTACAACAAAGCATTCGAGACAATACCTCAGCTATCTTCCTGTCAAGGCCTGTGAGTCTTTCTTGAATGGCCTAAGTAGGGGAAGACAGACTCACTTCTGCTGGTATACAACCTTAGCTACCTAAATGTCCATACACGGGAAAGACTATTGAGTGACTATAAAGAATGCATATTTGAGGATTTCTTTTCCTAAGTTTCTACAAATGCAAGTTACAGGGTTAAGTTTTAAGTTTCAGAAGTCATAGACTGCAGGTTGAAGTTAGAATGAATAACTTGACCATGAGAATGAAATGGGGGTCATGAATGAAGCCCAGACTTTTAAAATCTTCTTTAATCAGTAATTCACCAAATGTCTTCACTTTATGAAAATTACCAAGTTATGTATTTGTGACTTGTTCCTTTTTTGTATGTATGAGTCACACTTCAATAAAAAGGAATTGAAGTTGCTTGATTTACAAAAGAAAACAAAGAACTCTTAAATTAAAAAGGCTGCATCTTATAGTGCCAGAAATTTTCCACTTTACCATTACCCTCTGCAAGTTACCTGCAGTATTCAGTTTATAAACATCTTACAGAACTGTGAGGATTTTGTCATTAACATTTGAATAATCGTTGTTAAGTAATAATTTCAAAAAACAAATTCATCTACAAATGGAGAAACTGAATTGCAACAAAAAAAAGCAACACTGTACCTTCTGCTTAATAACCCCTAATAGGTAAACATTTAAGCCCCAAGCCACACACACATTCATGCACTATGATTTTGGCAGGAAATAGTGAAAGAAATTATGAAAGGATAAACACCGTTATGCTGATAAGTGTGTTTGGGTAATCGCCAGTGAGCTTTGAAGAGGAATACAAATTTTCAGATGACTATCAGGGCTAAAGATCTTTTATGGGTAAACTCCCCCTACTCTTGGCACTTTCTGCAAGTCCAAGTACAGGAGACATTATTATTTAACCATCTGAGAAAGTTTTAAATTTGTAGTAACAAAATGACTTTGAGGGAGATATTAGTCAAAAGGTACAAAGTTTCAGTTAAGCAGGGTGCAGAAGTTCCAGAGATCTATTGAACAGTATAGTGACAATAGTTAATAATAGTGTATTGTATGCTTGAAAACTACAGAGGGAATAGATCTTAAATGTTTTCATCACAAAAAAGAATCATGTGACATGATGAATACATTAATTTAATCATTTTATAATCTATATATACCTCAAAATAACATGAACATCATAAATATAGATGATTGCAAATGGTCAATTAGACCTAAATAAATCTGGGAGGAAAAAACCAATATGAGTTTGTACTTAGACCAAATAAATGGCTATCACTTGATCATTTATGTTTATAAAAGTGCTGACTGACATGAAATGGGTATACATAGATAATGTATTAGAACATTTTCTATTACTGTAACAAAATACCTAAGCCAAGCTAACTTTCTAAACAAAACAGCTTTACTTAGCTCATGGTTTGGGGACTGAAAATCTAAGATTGGGTCACCCCTTTGGTTCAGTATCTCATGAGGGCTTCATGGAGGATGGCATCACAGTGGCATGGGCATGTGAGAGGGAGAGATCACATTTCATGATAGGAAACCAAAGTGTAATTCAGGGATCAGGAACCCAGGGTCTTTGCACTAAGCTAAATCCCCAATGTGTTGTTGTTTTTGTTGTTGTTGTTGTTGTTGTTTAATTTTGAGACAGGTCCCATTAAGTCCCTGTTTCCCAAACTGGGCTTTAGCTTATGATCCTTCTGCTTCAAACTCCTAAGTTCTGGGATGCAGGTGTGCTCCACTGTACATGGCTAGTTAGGTGCACTCTAACAACAGCACCCTCTTATGAGAACTAATGCAAGGTTCCATGATAACTACCTTAATCATTTCCAAGAGCAGGGCCCCTAATGACCAGTAGACCTATTTCTTAAAAGTTCCAGAACACCTCTCAATATTATCACACTAAGGACCAAAACTCCAGCCCTTGGGCAATATACACAAACCACATCCAAAACTTAACAGATATAGTCATAACATATTCACGGTATTTGGAGACAGACTAATAAAAATAGAATTTTGTTTTATTTTTAAAATTTTACTTTCCTGAGTTTACCTTTCTTAGGCTGAAGAAAGCTGCAATATGTTGATTGTCATGAGATTACCAGCCTTTATGGTGTAAAACTTTTGGAATTGTTTGAAAACAAAAAAAAATTATTTGTCCTAATCAGTTTATTTTATTGTGATCCTAATAATAGGGGAAAAGTAAACACAATTATAGTCAGGGACCTCAATATCCCATTATCATAAGTAGACAGATCAATTAGACAAAAAATTAATAAAGAAATATCAGAGTTGAATAAAACTTTTGAACAAAAGAACTTAATAGATATCTACCAAGTATTCCACCCAACAACAATAGAACACATTCTTCTCAAGAGCACATGGAACTTTCTCCAAATTAGACCCCATACTAGCCAATAAAGCCATCTTAAGTAAATGTAAAATAATTGAAATTATACCATGCATATTATCAGATCATAGTGCAATTAAACTAGAAATTGATTACAAAAGAAAACACAGAAATTGTACAAATACATGAAAACTAAACAATACACTTCTAAATAAACAATAAGTTACAGGGGCTGGCAATTTAGCTCAGTGGCACCACTGTGCCTGCCTCGCAAGCACAAGGTCCTGAGTTTGATCCCCGGTACCAAAAAACAAACAAAAAAAATAATAAGTTACAGAAGAAATCAAGACAGAAATAAGACAGTTTTCAGAAGTAAACAATAATGCCAGTACAACATATCAGAACTTATGGGACATAATGAAAGTGTCCTAAGAGGGAAGTTTATAGCTTGAATGCTCACATCATAAAAAAAGAGTAAACAGTTAGATAATAAAAAGAAATAAAAGAGATATATACATCGGACAGAAAAATCAAATTATTTGCAGATGACATGATCCTCTACACAGAAGACCCAAAAAATCCACCAAAACACTCTTTAGAATTAATAACCAAATTTAGTAATGTAGCAGGATACAAAATCAACAAACAAAAATCAATAGCGTTCCTGTATACTAATAATGAACCCACTGAGAAACAATTCAGGGAAAAAGTGCTATTCACAATAGCACAATAAAAATTAAATACTTAAGAATTAACCTAACTAAGAAAGTGAAAGACCTCTACAAGAAAAACTACAGCAGGCTGTAAAAAGGAAATAAAAAAGGACACCAGAAAATGGAACTGCCTGGATAGTCAGAATCAGTGTAGTCAAAATGACCATACTTGCAAAATTCATGTACAGATTTAACACAAACACAATCAAAACACCTAAAGTATTCTTCACAGAACTGGAGAAAACAATTCTAAAATTCATATAAAACCAGAAGAGACCTAGAATAACAAAAGCAATCTGGGATAACAAGAACAAAGCAGGAAGTATCTAGAGGCATAATATCTAGGATATATAAAGAACTCAAAAAAACTAGACCCCCCCAAAATAAAAGACCCAATCAAAAAATAGGCAATGGAAATGAATAGACACTTTCAGAAGAAGAAGTATAAATGACTAATAAACATGAAGAAATGCTTGGGGTGGGGATTTAGCTCAGTGGTGCCACCACTTGCCTTACAAGCACAAGGTCCCAAGTTCAATCCCCAGTACCAAAAAAAAAGAAATGCTCAACATCGCTGGCCATTAGAGAAATGCAAATTAAAACAACACTGAGATTGTATCTTACCCAAGAAAACAAGAAAGAATGGCCACCATCAAGAAATCAAATAATAACAAATTCTGGAGAGACTGTGGGGGAAATAAAGAACTTCTCTACATTGTTGGTAGTAATGTGAAGTAGGAGAGCCACTATGTAAATTGGAGTGAATATTCCTCAGAAAAGTAAAACTAGAAATTCTGTTTGACCCAGCTATTTGCCTACTAGTATCTTCCTGAAAAAGCTGAAGACATCATATTACAGTAATACATATAAACCAATGTTCATAGCAGCACAATTCATAATAGCTAAATTTTGGAAGCAGCTTACATGTCTATCAACAAATGAATGAATTAATAAAATGTGGTATTTACATACAATATGGAGTACTACTCTGCCATAAAGAAAAACTTGAGTTATTTGTAGAAAAATGGATTCACCTTCAGGCCAAAATGTTAAATGAAATAAATCAGACACAGCAAAACCAAATAGCTCATAGTTTCTTTTATATGAGAAACCAAAATTATAAATAAAGACTAAAATAAAAGATAGATAATAAGAAGTAGGGAGATTTTTCTCAAATGGAAAGAGGATCAAAAGATGTGGAAGGAGGAAGAAGGGAAGGGAGGGAAAGGGGATGAAAAAAATTAAGATGTACTATGTACCTGTATCAACTTCACACAAGGAATGTAAACAATGTACACTGCAAACATGTACTAATTAAAAATAAATAAAATAAGTATGATTACTTGGTAGTCAGTTTGGCCTTAATATAAACACATTACAATGGTTCGTAACACAACTCTTCAAATTTTGATCCACATTATACATTGTACTTTATATTATTCAATAAAAAATTTGAGTTCAAATTCAGAAAGAGGAAAACAGTAACCTTGAGTATAACTCCCATAGGAAATATTTTTCAAATTCATTTCTTGTACTTCCTGCTATGCTA